CCAAGCATGGAGATTTCACCACGAGACCCGACACTGGGGGGTGCCGGCGCCCGACACTGGGGGGTGCCGGCGCCCGACACTGGGGGGTGCCGGCGCCCGACACTGGGGGGTGCCGGCGCCCGACACTGGGGGGTGCCGGCGCCCGACACTGGGGGGTGCCGGCGCCCGACACTGGGGGGTGCCGGCGCCCGACACTGGGGGGTGCCGGCGCCCGACACTGGGGGGTGCCGGCGCCCGACACTGGGGGGTGCCGGCGCCCGACACTGGGGGGTGCCGGCGCCCGACACTGGGGGGTGCCGGCGCCCGACACTGGGGGGTGCCGGCGCCCGACACTGGGGGGTGCCGGCGCCCGACACTGGGGGGTGCCGGCGCCCGACACTGGGGGGTGCCGGCGCCCGACACTGGGGGGTGCCGGCGCCCGACACTGGGGGGTGCCGGCGCCCGACACTGGGGGGTGCCGGCGCCCGACACTGGGGGGTGCCGGCGCCCGACACTGGGGGGTGCCGGCGCCCGACACTGGGGGGTGCCGGCGCCCGACACTGGGGGGTGCCGGCGCCCGACACTGGGGGGTGCCGGCGCCCGACACTGGGGGGTGCCGGCGCCCGACACTGGGGGGTGCCGGCGCCCGACACTGGGGGGTGCCGGCGCCCGACACTGGGGGGTGCCGGCGCCCGACACTGGGGGGTGCCGGCGCCCGACACTGGGGGGTGCCGGCGCCCGACACTGGGGGGTGCCGGCGCCCGACACTGGGGGGTGCCGGCGCCCGACACTGGGGGGTGCCGGCGCCCGACACTGGGGGGTGCCGGCGCCCGACACTGGGGGGTGCCGGCGCCCGACACTGGGGGGTGCCGGCGCCCGACACTGGGGGGTGCCGGCGCCCGACACTGGGGGGTGCCGGCGCCCGACACTGGGGGGTGCCGGCGCCCGACACTGGGGGGTGCCGGCGCCCGACACTGGGGGGTGCCGGCGCCCGACACTGGGGGGTGCCGGCGCCCGACACTGGGGGGTGCCGGCGCCCGACACTGGGGGGTGCCGGCGCCCGACACTGGGGGGTGCCGGCGCCCGACACTGGGGGGTGCCGGCGCCCGACACTGGGGGGTGCCGGCGCCCGACACTGGGGGGTGCCGGCGCCCGACACTGGGGGGTGCCGGCGCCCGACACTGGGGGGTGCCGGCGCCCGACACTGGGGGGTGCCGGCGCCCGACACTGGGGGGTGCCGGCGCCCGACACTGGGGGGTGCCGGCGCCCGACACTGGGGGGTGCCGGCGCCCGACACTGGGGGGTGCCGGCGCCCGACACTGGGGGGTGCCGGCGCCCGACACTGGGGGGTGCCGGCGCCCGACACTGGGGGGTGCCGGCGCCCGACACTGGGGGGTGCCGGCGCCCGACACTGGGGGGTGCCGGCGCCCGACACTGGGGGGTGCCGGCGCCCGACACTGGGGGGTGCCGGCGCCCGACACTGGGGGGTGCCGGCGCCCGACACTGGGGGGTGCCGGCGCCCGACACTGGGGGGTGCCGGCGCCCGACACTGGGGGGTGCCGGCGCCCGACACTGGGGGGTGCCGGCGCCCGACACTGGGGGGTGCCGGCGCCCGACACTGGGGGGTGCCAGCGCCCGACACTGGGGGGTGCCGGCGCCCACTGGATAGTTTAATTCTTCAGCGTCCAACATTTTGGGTTGGACTGATCCTTTAAAAGTTCCTGGTGGCTCCTATATTAAAGTAGAGGGGATTGCGTGGACCTTCAACCATTTTTCGATAATCTTGGGAGCCACAAAATCTGGGGAGCTCTATTGAGAAAGTTCTGACTTCTGTTGTGAAAGTTGATCACAACTTATCTACCCCCTTCTAGTCTCCTGTCATAGTGACGGGCCAATGGTGAGCTAATCAAAGAGGTTGGCCAGTCCTCGACTTTACCAGAATTGCATAATAAAGCAATCATGGGTTTGGGGTTTTTGGCGCACTCGTAAAGATGGTTAGATAGGTACCTATGGGTTGCTGGTTTAAAACCCAAATCTGTGCTTGGTGTCCCCTCTCAGAGGACCCCCTTCCCCAGCAGTATGTTCTGCCTTTTTGACTTTTTCTGTAGTCATGTGACTTGCTGTGTCCTCTTTGGTTTTCGCTCTGCTTTCATCCTAAGGATGTGTACCCCTGCGGTCAAGGCCGGATTTCCCACAAGGCCCAGCCTGCGGGGCAGCAGGGGTGTGTAATGCCTATCTCCCGATGCCCAGGACATGCAGGCGCCGGGCGGGTAGTTGTTTTCTACATTTAGCCCGGCTTTGGGCAAGCAGAACTAATGGTACAGCGGGGAAGCCGCCGATTGTTCTATACAAGTGATCTCGGCAATGTCGCCAAGATCACTTGTATGCAGCCTGCAGGTCTGCCATTCTCCGTGGGGGGGAGGTTTGGCGGGTAGGGGGGCGCATTGAGGACCTGGCCTTGGGGCAGCAGAGAGTATATCCGGCACTGCCTGTGGCGCAATGGAATAGTCGGCACAATACGGGTCAGCTAAAACTGTCTCCCTTCACCATAACGTTGCATCCTCAGACACCGGAGTCCTCCACACTGTACCATTGAGTTGAATAGAAACCGGCTGACTTGCAGTTGATGTGCGTTTCAGACGCAAGTAAATGACGACCCTGTACACGAAAACCCTAAATCATCTCTTTGTGTGTTCAGTCTATATCGTGTTTCGGCGGACTTTATCGTCCACATGCGCCCCAATATAACAGTGGGCCTGTCCGGACAAGCGTCAGAGCGTCTGTTTTTATTGCCCACATTAACCTGGTTTTTATTTTTTAAGCGGCAGTAAATGTTTTGGCTTCACCGTCTTTTCTCTTCAGATTGTTAACTCCGGTGTAATGTTATATTTCCCTCTGCATGTGAAAATGGCAGTTCACAGACCACATTGAAATCGCCCTTTTACAAGCTGTTTTAAGACGTAAAGCATTCCCATAACATCTTCCCGTCCCAAAGCGAGTCACTTAAACTAATTAAACGTTCTGTGCTCCCCACCCCCACCTTCTCCCCGAAATATGTGGATTTGCCTCTCCTCCGCTGAGACAAAGCAGTAAATGTCGGGGCGATATAAAACTGCATCCGACCGCTGCTCCCATGTAAACCGCTCCGTGTTCTAGCTTTCCGCCCACGCTAATTGTTCCCTCTCCCAGAATTGTGTGCAAAACAAACATTGCTCGCTCTGGTCGGCTCTCTCTCTCGCTCTGGTCGGCTCTCTCGCTCGCTCTGGTCGGCTCTCTCGCTCGCTCTGGTCGGCTCTCTCGCTCGCTCTGGTCGGCTCTCTCGCTCGCTCTGGTCGGCTCTCTCGCTCGCTCTGGTCGGCTCTCTCGCTCGCTCTGGTCGGCTCTCTCGCTCGCTCTGGTCGGCTCTCTCGCTCGCTCTGGTCGGCTCTAGTATTCCCTGCGAAGCAGAACGCGAGAACAGACCAGCACATGGCTTTTTATGTGACTTCTGCGGTAAATGGACCTATTTTAAGTTTCCTCTAGGTTACCAAGGGTGATACTGAGTTACCGGCGGCTACCTCGGGGACGTCTCATAATCAGCACCGAGGTAAAGGATTACGCAGGTAATAAGCTGGAATGGATGGCCGTTCCTGTCAGGCGCAGCCGGTTGCTAAGTACACACAGGGGCACCATGTGCAAGACCTCAAACGTCTGCAAGCATCTTTTTATAATCCCAGCGAGTTGTATAATGTTCGCCGCGCACCATATAGCCGTGTCCACGCTGTGTAATTACTCAAATAAAAGCAATCTTTGGCACCCATTAAGGGGCCCGGACGCAGCAGGCTGCTCGCGCTTGCATCATGACCTCATTCTACAGTTAACCTGTCGGTGGCGGGGACGTAGCTGGGCCTCCGCGCTTTATTTGCTTTATAAAAGTACGTTGCCAAAGCTTTACAGGGCGCAGAAAAGAAAGAACGTGTTAAACTGCCTTTTTTGACGGGGGAGGGGGGGCGGAAAGCGAGCACGGGAATTAAGTAACATAACTGGAACAGTAATCTGTACCTATAAAATGCCAGCCACCCAATGGGTAAACAATGACGCATACTCATGCTGCCTGACCACGAACGCAGGGCATTATAAATGGCAAACTGTAGTGTGTTCCCAGCCTATTGTAACCTTTGACTGTATGTGTGTGTACAGTTGGGGAAGGTAAATCTGAACTCCGTCCTTCCCTTCAAGTGATATTAAAGCCAAAATTTCATTTTCTCTTTAAGGAGACCCTCCTTTGCTGGAGGCTTTTTTTTTTTCAAAAGAAGTTCTTCATTCCTCGTTTTCTGGTGTGCCCCCACCATGCTCTTTTCCCCGCCCCCTGCACAGGTGCCACCATCGTTCTAATGGAGGCACCCGTGCGCACTTGTCCCCGCAGCGGCTGTGTGCGTCCATAGACACACACACAGCCATGTGGCAGGCCACGCCCCTTCCGTCTTTGATTGACGGCAGAAGGAGCCTATGGCTCCTCTGCCATCCGTATTCTCCCCCTGTACCCCGGAAGTTTGGGTTCGGGCGGCGGGGATGAGCGCAGCTGATAGGTAAGTTTGGGGGGGGGGGGACTGGGGTAAAAAAAAAAAAAGCTGCTGGGTTGTTTTTACCCTAATGCAGAGAATGCATTAAGGTAAAAAATGCCCAGACCTTAATACTATAAATCTTGCACAGTTGTACCGGCTCTTCTCCTGTATGGAAATTGCTTACAGATGTCACTGCACACTGGGAGCTCCTCACAATGTGCATTAGAAGCTGCAGCAAGTCAGATAGAGCTCCGCCCCATTTCCTGGCTGAATGCCATCAAGCACCATCGAACCCTTTCCTATATATTTCCTACTCCTATTTTTAGAGTGCTGTTTGACTTTTATCTGGAATGGTAATGTGTAGTTGGACAGGAAGGTGGTCTGCTTAATATGTCATTCTGCATTGGTTTATAATCCATTCTGTCTCTCTCTTCCTTTTTATAGATATGATGGTGTCACAGTACTTGTCATGTTTCCTCATAGTACGCTTCTCCAAGACTGAAACCGGTGAGTGCCCTCCTCCTTCTTATACAGTTATTTGGTGCTGTATTACATAGTACATAGTATACATCGTACAGTATTTGAGGTTGAAAGAAGACTCGGGTCCATCAAGTTCAACGTGTGTGTGGGCGTGCATGTTTGTGTCTCTTGTGCGTGCATGTGTATCCCTGTGTGGTCTAGTATTGAAGTGTACCTGTACCCCTGTATGGTTACGGTCTCTTATGATGGAATCTAATTGATTTTTAAACTTAATTTCTACCTGTCTGTATTCCTTTGCCTGCTTTTTGCCTATCCCATTGCTAGGTAAGTACTGCAGAGTGTTGTTCATATTTAAAGCCAATTTTGTGTCTAGGGGGATTCTTTAAAAGCAGTTTTACTTGCCTGATTCCTGCTGGCTCCTAAACTCGCACCCGTAGCCTATTAAACTTGTAGCCCCCCCCTCCCCATTCTCCGGTGGTTGGAGGTGTGCTGATGTCATGATGTCTAATTCAGGGTCCATAGACCTATACACATGAGCACACCAAGGTACATTCCACAGCCGGAGCTTTCCCTGCAATTCACGGCTGCTTTCTGGCAGCATCCCCGAGCAGACTCTCAGCTTTGATATCCAGCTCCTTGAATGACACCCAGCGCCATCCAACTTACATCTTGTGACCTTAGGCCAGTGGTGGCGAACCTTGGCACTCCAGCTGTTTTGGAACTACAAGTCCCATGAGGCATTGCAAGGCTCTGACAGCCACAGGCATAACTCCCAGAGCCAAATGCATGTGGGGATGTGTAGTTTTGGCACAGCTGGAGTGCCAAGGTTCGCCACCACTGTCATGGGCACACTTCCTGGTGCTGCATCAGCACACCAGCCCGGGCTTACGGGAGTATGCTGTAGAGGGAAGCGCCGTATTATGTGCAGCATTCAGGAGCCATTGCCAGAGTAAGGAATAGAAGGAAGAACATGTGATGTGATATATGACAGGAATGATGAAAACGCCTAGAAGAAAAGGTATGGGTACTTCAAGGGGTACAGGGACCTTTTTAGGGGTAGGGTTCAGATTTTTTAAAAATAGCACATGGGGTTACTTGCAGTACCGGGACCCTGGTTTAAATTCCTGCCCGGAATACTAGCTGCATGTCCTCCATGTTCGTGTAGGTTTTCCTCAACTGTTTCCTTCCACAGCCCAGAAACATACAGGTGAAACTCGAAAAATTAGAATATCGTGCAAAAGTTCATTTATTTCACCAATGCAACTTAGCCGTCTACCAGGAGATTTTGGAGCACTTCATGCTTCTGCAGACGAGCTCTATGGGGATGCTGACTTCATTTTCCAGCAGGACTTGGCACCTGCCCACACTGCCAAAAAATTTCTGAGATTGTGGATCTGGGTTTTCATGAGCTGTAAGCCATAATCATCACAATTATGACAAATCACGGCTTGAACTATCTTGCTTTGCATGTAATGAGTCTCATATATTAGTTTCACCTTTAAGTTGCATTAGTGAAATAAATGAACTTTGCACGATATTCTAATTATTCGAGTTTCACCTGTAGGTCCCAACAAGGGAAATCAGAGATGGTATTTGAGGCCCCAATAACAGAACTGGTGGTTGACCACTTATTTAGATGAATGAAATATTAAAGTGTATGTCGGGGCAAGATAAGAAAAGTATTCAGTACATCTGTGCCGTACATGGACATTTTCCAATGTTTTGTCTGTTGACCCTACCAGAAATCCAGTGAGCTCCTCCGTTCCTGTTGTGAGCTGACAACACTGCGTTTGTTGCACTGAAATCCCAAGAAGTGTTGTCAACCTTTCCCAATTCTACATGGACTACAGAGAATCTGCCACTTATGTTGCTATGGTGATGAGTAGAGGTGGGGGGAGGTGGGGCTGACAATACTGCTTGGGACTTGAGTACAGCAGCGTTGTCGGCTGTCACTGATCAGATTGAATTGATTTATTTTTTTATTACATCTCCTTTTGTAGCTAAAAATGATGAGAACTGTGGTTCCTTTATAACATACTTTGCACTTCTTACATTCCATATAATGGCTTCTGCAGTATAAACAGGTTTCCTTTTTGGAGGTTGGGTGAATGTAATTGTTTCTCTCTGTTTTGTTTGCAGAAATCTGTGCGGGTCCTGAGCTGCAATGATTTAAGTCACTGGATGTGGGAGAAACCCTCAACATGGCAGGCCTACAGCTCCTGACCCCAGCCTCCTCACCCATGGGCCCCTTCTTTGGGCTGCCCTGGCAGCAGGAGGCAATTCACGATAATATATACACCCCCAGGAAGTATCAGGTACAGTACACGTCCTACCATTCATACAGATACCCGTCTGTGCATACCACACGCTTTCCCCAATTTTGCTGAGCTCCAGGCAAGGACATAACCAGAGCGTGAACAGTTTTACCTTCCAGAGGTTTTGGAAGTCTGTTCAGCGGTGTAATTATTACTTTAACACTGCCACACCAGTGAAGCTGGGGAACGTGGGGGTTACAAAGTGGGTGCAGTGTTGGTGGTGGAGGAGTGAGTGCACGGGGTGGCATG